TTTGCAGGCAGTCTCATCGCTTAAAATGTACGCTTCGTCATTGGACTCGTGGAGGCTAGAGTGAGGGGTGGGGGGCGGTGAAACATTTACGATATGGGATACAAACAATAATACAATGATAATGTCAGCAACACAAAGCTGCGTGTATGACTGACTGTTTTATGTGATTGACTAGGACGGTTCTCGAAGATAGAATGATTTCTGAATGAAGTTTGTGGTGCGCATGATTTGTTTAGACTCATAAATAACAAGTAACATGTATCTATCAAGTACAAAGCACGAACTAGAAGGGACCGGCACTATAATGTTGTGTGTATGATAAATGTGTTAATGACCTTTGATCACTGGTATTACATTTGTAATTTGGAGTGCTTTGTCATAAGTGTTTCTTATATGATTATTTTTTTGACATTACTTATTTACATAGCGGTCAGAATAATAACCTATATATAAGACAAACGTCCCCGGATGTAATACTTAAAGTCTAAAGTGATGCTTTACGCTAATGATCCCCGGCATTGTAGTTTCACACACATTAATTGGACAACTAGTGATAAGTAGAATTTTTTGGGGAGCGTCGTGTGATAAACAATCATCTGATTTAAGTATGTACTCTTGTGTAAGATAAAAAAGACATAGTACTAGCCAGAAACAAGAGCTTTTGTTCAGTTACGAATGGTATTTTAATTTTGTGAAGTGTTATTGTGACCTAGGAAATGATTATAACAATCTTAACTTCCTTAAATACAGAAGACCATTGTGAGATAAAAAAACACACACACACACATAAAAGAAAATAACAAGCAAGCAAACACAGATTTTTGAACGATGTGAGAAATTAATGTTTGTTTAAGGTATGACCCCCCCCTAATGCATAACCTCCGCTTTAAAGAGTGTTGAAATAAGCTAGAACTATTGTCAACTGCATTGAAACTGAGGGGCGCGGCTTCAAACTCCAGAAGGGGAAACTATTTTTACTTTTCTTTTAGTTGAATAACGTATAATCATGTCCTTAGATACAAAAGCCCTACATATTTGTCGAAAATACTCTCCAAAATTGAGATATGAATACCAACTTATGTCCTAAGTTGTTTATGACCTTAATTTTCATTTCATTCGACTGCAAAGCCGAGTTCATTAAACACCGCCCTTCCTTGATGTTAAATGATTTTATATAAAACGCACGGTTTACTATGGAATGACACAATTCATTTTGCGAGTCCTCATTGAAAATACAAGTACATAAAAAACATTCACATGCATTAGCCCATTTAAAGTTTCTTGCTTTGTTGCAGATCATTTTTATTTACATTTTCGTCAGATGGAAAGACAAATGTTCTTATTGTTTTATTTAAATCATTGATTGTACAACTGTCTGAGTTCATGTACTGAGGATAGTTTACCGATCGTGGGTCCATAATGGATAAAAATCGCATGAGCCGCGTCACGACAAAACCAACATAGTGGGTTTGCGACCAGCATTGATTCAGACCAGCCTGCGCATCCGCGCAGTCTGATCAGGATCCATGCTGTTCGCTTACCAACCCTATTACAAGTAGATAAATTGATAGCGAACACCATGGATCACCACGGATGCGCAGGCTGGTCTGGATCCATGCTGGTCGCAAACGCACTTTGTTGGTTTTGTCGTGACGCGGCTCTTTCAAATTTTTTTAATGACCTAATGGGTTTGATTTGTATATCATCACTAGAGCCAACTTTCCTTGTGGGCATATTATGTCTCAGAAAGCCATTTTCAATGTCTTTAAAATGTGTACCTAAATTTTTTAAAAATCTTAAGGAAAAGGCACTGAACGCGCAGTAATGTGTCATATAGTAGAATGTAAAGTAATATTCAGCCTTCCATACAAAATAATAATTCACTATAATTACATGAATTATACAAATTGCTTATAGATCTATAGCTACGGAAGCAAATACATTTTGTATTAGTTCATCTATATTGCAAATGAGCATTATTTTGAAAACTGTAATAAAAAGCTTTTGAGAAATGAAATTGATAACATATCCGAGGCATTATGGGCCTTTAATCTCAATGACCAGGAATAAAATGATCTTTTAGTTCAACAACCATTCATTAATAAGAATATTTGCAAAAACATGTTATGAAATATTAAGAAATAATATATTGTGCAAGATCTGAACAGAATAGAAAAGGATATTCCATATCTGAAAAATGTATTGTATTTTCTTTTGAAAATGTGATATTTTAATTGTGTTTTATAGTTATAGCTTTTTTTAAAGATTTTATGTTGATATTTTATTAAATAAAATGGTACAAGAATTCTTTGACTATTTCCATACTTCATAGATTGTATTTTATTTGATGTATACATTTAACAGAAATTACAATGAAAATAGACGATGAATATAAAATATGATCAAACAAAAACCTTATATATATAAATATAAACTAATGTAACTAATTTAGATTTTTACTTACCCCGAAACAACTGTAAATGTGAAAAGTATAAGGGCTAACATCTCCCACTGCCCTTCCATCGTTAAACTCCCGATTAATCTTGACACGGACTATTTATAAACGTTTAACAACACTTCATATCCTAAGTATGTGTGAACAACAACTGGCTTCTATGGTATAATCTACTTAAGGTACTCCTCCATCATTGCAGCGTATTGTTTATTTCACACGATTTCATCTTTTCCATGCATTCAGATAACAGAAAAGAATTTACTTGTTTTATTTGCCTTAAGCATAACAAGGTCGTTCAGCGAAGAGAAAAAATACGCACATACTTGGTATGACATAACAAGAAAATACATTGTAAAATAGAGGTGATAATATTTCCTTAACAAATATTCAGTGAGAATGTAACAAACAAAGAACTACACACAAAATTAAATAATAAATTAGAAAAGAATGTTGGAGTATTTTGCGTCATTACACTAGAGAAAACCCTTACATCAATACAGTTATTACAGGACCATTTCTTTTTTTCTTTGATTTTCTTACAACTGCTTGGCATTAACGAAAAATGATTTAAATTAATTATATTTGTGTGGGTATAATAATGCCTGAGAACATAGGGTCTTCTTAAGTCAACATTAGCTGTGCATTAAAAAACAATATGAAATAAAATTCTTCTTTAGTATCAGTATCCAGATTGCTCAAACGTATTTTTTTCACCTCCCGGAAAATATATTAAGAACTTTATATATGAGACGCGTCACGACAAAACCAATACAGTGCGCTTGCGACCAGCATGGATCCAGACCAGCCTGCGCATCCGCGCAGTCTGATCAGGATCCATGCTGTTCGCTATCAGTTTCTCTACTTGTAATAGAGTTGGTAAGCGAACAGCATGGATCCTGATTAGACTGCGCGGATGAGCAGGCTGGTCTGGATCCATGCTGGTCGCAAACCCACTATGTTGGTTTTGTCGTGACACGGCTCATATGTACCAATGTTTTCCACTTATACCGGCACACATGTCTCTTAGCCTATAACAAAACCATTTATATCTACAAATTCGGAAGATAACTTCATTTTGACAAGACGACTGAAGAATATCGCTTATGCATAAGGCCAATTTTAAGCTCTATACATTTTATTTGGTCCTGTAAAACTGCCTTTAGTATACAATTTTTTGACTTAACAGTATTAATCATCAGAAAATATGAAAAACCGTTTAAACATGTCGTTTAGAATAGAGGGGGAGACCTGTCTAGTTCATGTTAAAGAGCTATTATTTGTTCAGTTTGCTTGATATTTAGTACTAATTTTAAAAAAAAACCTTACTTCTTTCACTTAAACCTCTGAATTTATAAAACCCCATACTTCTGCGCGATAATGCATAGTTAAAGTTTATATGTCCTGCTGTATAATTACGTGACAAATTCGACATGTTGAACATAATCGGGATAATCCTTAAACTTTGTTTTGTTTACAAAGTAGTTATCTAAAATACTACTGTAAGATTAATGCAGATTTAAAAGGGAGATAAAGCTTCAGCACTAAAGTAAACTGTTGAGATAAAAGATCTTAACACCAATGTACTGGGTCTGAGAAATACATATAAACTTCCGTTAAAATTTTAAAGTGTTTTCATAATAGTATAATTCGCAATGAGCGTCAATTTGGTAGATAGTTGGATATTCGAATAACCAACTACATACTCGTTGGTTATTTGTTATTCCCATCTATTTAACAGTTGGTAGTTGGTTTAAGAAATATAGATTTAAGACATGTCATTGACATTTGTATCTATCATTGGATAGTCTTCGATTATTTATTTTCGAAAATATAATTATTTATTTATTTTGGTTGTGGAAAAAACTTTTATTTTCCCTTAAATCAATTTTGGTTTTTGATGTTTGAAACTTAACAAAACTTTTATAATAATTGCATTCAATTTGATAACTGCAGAATGCTAGTGATTGAATTGAAATATATTTTACTCATATTGAGTAATGCAAATAAAAATACGGTTGAATTATTTTTGTGAATTTCTTTTTTCCTGTTTCAATATACGATGATGAATACAAGGGTCTTAAAATATTAGATAAGACATTTGAATAAGACAGTATAAATAAGACATTTGAATAAGACAGTATAAATAAGACATTTGAATAAGACAGCATGAAAATATTACGTCAGTATTCGATTGTTTTGAATTAATTATATAGATTTCCTTATTCAGCTCAATTTTATGGCGACAATTGAGCATAATATCAACAAGTATTCATTTAATGAATAAATTTGAATGAGTATCTGTTTCACTAATTATTTCAAGAACGAATACGAATACGGACGAATATGAATTCGTATTTTTTTAAGATATGAATACGTATAAATATAAATCCTTAATATCCTAACTAATCAAAATATACAAAGAATTGTAACTGTGTAATTTAATCTGTCTTTTGCCCAAGAAGAGTAACTTCCCGTTGTTTAAAGCGTTACCGGTTAAATGTTACATTGTCGACCAACGAAGATGTAAAGTATGATAAAAGTTTAACACTCAAATTTAAATGGGAATGAACCTTTATAAACTCGTCAAATGATTATCCATTGTTTGATTTAAATGAACGACGGATAGCCATCTCTCACCACAATATTGTGTATGTTAAATTAACAAATGCAAAATGATAAAAAATTAAAACAGTGATCGGTAGACAAATAACGCTTAAACAAGAAATATGTGTTCAACAGTTTAAAATGGGATAAAATGTAGATTTAACATAAAAGGTATTTATATTTAATTTGTATTTTATTGCAATAGTTTTAAGTGCTCTTTTATTTTTATTAAATTGTAATAAGGATTAAAGGCTCTTTATGTCCCAGAAATGCTTTTATTTTTATTTCTCAAAAGCCTTTTTATTTTTGGTGTCCAGTTATAGGCTCTAAAAGTTATTCATTGGCCTGTAACCCGAACCATCTATGAATCTGTTGCTTTTTGGATAATTATTACAGTTAACACTAGTGATAAAAAATGTATGGAAGTCATAATACTACTTATTTATATTTTGCTACTTTAATGATAAAATAACTTCACATTAAGTGCTATTTCCTTCTGGCGATTAGCATCTGACATGCACTAAAAACCCTTATTTGAACGTTATAAAACCTCTGATTGTCCTTTCTAAAGAAGAAACGTGGTTTATTTCTGAGGCATAATGTGCCTTTAACATTTTTTTAAACTAATGGTGAAACATAATAGAAAACCACGTATATATGTCCACTGGCTATAAGCAGTTCGGTAGATGATTTCTGTTTTTTCCTGTTCTGTTTACTAGAGTAACTAATAACTGTTATATTACATTAGATAATTTCATGGCATTTAACTGCTACCGTTTGATAAATGTATGTTACAATTTAGACTCTACCATTTACGACATTTTGTATGAACGCAACCCATAGTTATTATGTCTTAAACAAGAAAATTGTTCATTAAAAGCGTAAATGAAATGAGCCGCGTCACGACAAACCAACATAATGGGTTTGCGACCAGCATGGATCCAGACCAGCCTGCGCGTCCGCGCAGTCTGATCAGGATCCATGCTGTTCGCTATCAGTTTCTCTACTTGTTATAGGGTTTGTAAGCGAACAGCATGGATCCTGATCAGACTGCGCGGATGCGCAGGCTGGTCTGGATCCATGCTGGTCGCAAACGCATTATGTTGGTTTTGTCATGGCACGGCTCAAATTTGTATGAGAAAATAGATTCATGCATTATGATCTTTCATCAGATATGGGACAGCAAGCAGCAAAACAACCTATAAGGGTTGTTCTTCCAGCTGATGAAACAGATGGTCTCAATGCTGACGCTGAAGATGACGAGGAAGAACATAATATTGATAAGGTATGTATCATCATCATCATCATCATCGTCTTCATCATCATCATCATCATCATCTATCTAAATCATCATCTTTTTATATCATCATCATCATTTTATTACATTCTCATCATAATCTTTTTACATCTCATTCTCTCATAATCAACAACAACAACAACAGCAACAACAACAGCAGCAGCAACAACACTTGCGTCATTATTATTAGCATCATCATTTTTATCATCATCACCAGGCATAACCAGCATTGTCATTATAATCATGAACTGAATGATACTGTGTAACTATGGTGGCTGTTTTCTGCCATTTCGTGTCTTCACCTTCGACTTCTGACTAAGATTTCAACCCGCGAACACGATAATTTTACAGTAGAAGATCTCACGAGAGTCTTTGCATATTAAACTATCGTTATTTCTCCTAAAATGCATCGTGTCCTGGTTTCGGCGCCCTTGAAGATCAAAGGCGAAGATTTGGTAAGTGAACATATTTATCATGTCTTCGCCTTCGACTTTAGAGGGACGAAGACCCGAAATGGTAGAAATCATTCACCATAAGTACACTGTATTTTCAAGCGTTGCCAAAGAATAACAATTTATTTGAGTAGTAAATCTATAGATCGTTTACAACGTGTACAATTGAACACTCATATTCACCAGATCCACTTGCAATAGGATAGTGAACAAAATGATAGTATTAATAGTTTGATTGATTTACAGTGTCATTGTTCGCATTTCATTACATTCCAGTTATATTCGTATATCTATATTCTTATACATTTATTTACAGAATAGTGATTATTAATAAATGATTACATTTGTAATTTATTTCATCTTCTATTCTTGTTCAATAATATTCAAGGTGAGCGGCCAAAAAACATATGTCTTCACAATGTTGCAGCATTACATATGTAGATTAGGATGAACATGTATCAATGTGAAATAAATTGTCCTTGTAAAATTATGAAAACAATTTGATTACAAAGTTTGTTTGTTTGTTTCACCTGTTACGCATTTGGTACATGTAAGTTGCGCTATTCTTTTCGTTGATAACGTAGAAATATCCTTATCAGAATTGTTCTCATAGACTCATGCCAGTTATGAATTTTAAATGTTTTCCCACATCGACATGTCGGCTTTGTCTGTTATGTGAAATTCATGTTTAGAAGTTTTTTCTTCGTACGACGGCTATGTAAAGAGATTACCTATTTGTCTTTGTTAATTAGTCGTTGTGAATATGCGAATATGAGAGGGGGAACAATGCGATTTATAACGTTGTAGTATAGAGGGATGAATATACGTCACATCCAGTTTTAAGCGCACCTGCACGACTAGTAGTTAACACTGTTAGTGTTATGTTTAAGCAATGGTTGCTGGAGTGCGGATAAGAAATATTAAGTGTGAAAGCGCAATCACGCAGTATTTTGTTTATTTAATAGCTCGGCGTGTCTGCAGAGGAGAGTGACTATCCGGAACCTAGGCCGCCATTACAAGAACTTCCGGTAAAAAACGATATTCATCTGCCCGGTAATGTGTCTGGAAAAACAGAACAAAGCAACACCTTAGATAAAATCGAGGAGGAAGGTACAATGTTTAGTACGAAGAGTTTCCCGGAAGAAGATTATCAGGTCGAGCTTGTCCCTGTAGGAGCAAGCTTTCAAAAGAGTATACAAAGACATGTTGAAGTTAACTCTGATTTCGATAGCGTTGATGAAAGTGGTAAAAAGACTTACCCTGTTGTGAAAACTATCACTAGAAGTTTGTCTTTACGTGATTCCCTAATTGGCTCTGGTCTTATGACTAGTTCAGGATTTCAACCAAACATGTCCAAACGAGAGGCGATGCTTGCTGAGAGAGAAAGGCACGAATATCTTAATTTAATTGCATCAAAAGCAAGCGAAGCTGACACACACAGAGGACAATTCAGGCGGTTTCACTTGGACTATCATGCAAGAAGTACACACACCGTGACCACAGATAAGTTCCGAAGTGTGGAGGATCGGGTAGCCGATGAGATAGCAGATAAGGTATGTTCCTAGAAAGATTAACAATATAACTGTCACTGCACGTTGGGTCAAATCTGAATTTGGACGCACATCCAGTGTTAGATGCTAGAGTCCCTTAAATGGCGCCGATTAGATCTTCGTCGTTTTGATTGTAAAGGCTCTCCATAATATACAAAATCACTTAATGATATAGTTGCCATTCCTATAAACATGTAGAGATTAAGAGATTGACACTCCTAGCATGCCTATACGCTCAGCTATAGGTTAATCCCAGCCCAGACAAACTACTATAAATTCTCACCCTTCCCATTCGGTTATCAAATTAGTGTAGGTTCCATCAATAAATTTAGTAAAGAGATGCCTGATTTCAGTTTCAATTTATTACATACTTAAATGAAAACTGTTTACAGTAAAAAATTGTTTGACATTGACGCGTTTATACTGCAACACTAAAATTAAGCATGTTACGCTATCTTTGAAAAAGGTACGTGCATGACGTATACTGTCGGGTTTATAGGGTCGGAAAAAGCGGCGCAATGGGTATGCGATGATATGAGGTTATTAATTTTATTATACATTGTCGAGTGCAATACTGTGTTCTATTGGCCAACTGTCAAATCTATATTGGACGAGGCGCAAATGTTTTGGAGCTGTGTACGAATTTTTGATTCAGGCTAAATGGAGTATGATATGCATTTGATATAGATATTTTGGACTCTGAAAATGAATTGTCTACATGGGATGTAATACGCATTTGATGATTAAAAGATAGTTTGGACTCTGAAATCGAAACAAGACTATATTGGGTGTGATATGCATTCGATATGAATGCTTTAGACTCTGAAAAGTGAAACGAGGTTAAATTGATAAGATTGGATCCGATAAGGATTTCTATCCGAACATCATGTGGTTCAAACTCTGAAAGTGCATTTGGTTATATTTTATAATGTGTGAAATAAGCATGGTTATTGAAAAAAACATATAATAAAATCATTTGACAGCCAATTAAATTGCTAAAAATGCAAAAATCATGTCACTGTTAACAGTTTATGAAGTAGTTCAACTTTGTATATACAACTTACTTACCAAATCAACAAATTTGTAAGCATAAATTATTCATTTCAATTGAAAAAGTATATTTTTTTCTAGCACAGAGACCATAGAGCAGAGACATATGAATCATTAGTGAATGATTTGACAGCAGATATAAATTCGGAGCGATTAAAAGTGAAGATTATTTTAGCATGGATGAGTAAGCAAAGTATTGGCAGACTTCAATTTGGTCGAAAACCACCATCACCAGACACACCAAACGGCTACATGATGCTAATACAGGAAGGACAAGGGACATTTCCGGTATTCTTCGCTCTTTTGTGCAGGTAAGCATTGTTTTCAGTATGATAAATGTTTACGAATCTAAAATCATGGGTACCAGTTATAGTGAGTTTGATGCGTATTGTTTGGCAATATTGACCTGAGACATTTGGATATTCAATCACCTTGTATGTATGTATGTATGTATGTACGTATGTACGTATGTACGTATGTACGTACGTATGTTTGTATGTTTGTATGTCTGTATGTCTGTATGTCTGTCTGTATGTATGTATGTATGTATGTTTGTATGTTTGTATGTATGTATGTATGTATGTATGTATGTATGTATGTAACTTGTTTATTTATATTTTTTTATTATCTTTTTTGCGAAATTTGACTATTAAGTTCTTATGCATGCTAATCACCTATTTTACGACTCTACAAATTGAAATTATTAAAATTTACATATACATCAACATAACATAACATAACATTATTTTTTCAAAAAAGAATAAAATAGCAAAAATCTAGACAGCTTCATTAAAGATAAATTAAACTCTTGTTATTTTACTTTTTCTTTTATTTGTTCATTAACTTTTTTTTCTTTTTAAAAGAAATGAAGTGATTGGAAAAAAGAGAATTTTATATAAAACACATAATGATGTATGCGACATTGCGGGTCTTTTTTCATATTTCATATTTCTTTTTCATTCAGAGCAACAAATTTGAAATGTGCTATTATCAGTGGGATATCTAAAGGGACACATTACGAAGTCGGAAGTAAAGATACCGAACTGCTGAGGAATACCTGGAATGCTGTGTATGTTGAGGGGTCATGGCAACTGGTAAGTCTTTTTCTCTTTTTGTAGTATAGAAATGAATAAAAAACATAGCATTTTAATTTAGATCTCGTGGTGTTTGTTAAGGGGAAACAATTCATTTGTTACAATATCAAGTGAAAACCGGTGGTTATTCCCCGTATTATGCGACAGAAAAAAAACCCATCGAAACAGGAGGCTTTTTTCTGATTTGTACGAGAGGGCGTAGCCCGCGAACATCAGTCAGATTGCCGAGTGAAGTGGTTTTCTTTCTCTTTTGAGTCATAGGCAACAATAAAAACACGTTCACTGTCGTCACAATATGAAACACTTTTAAATAAAGAAACCAATGTACGAGCGTCAGAATATGACTTTCCTGTCGTTATCCCTTTCCGAGTCGTCACAATGGGTAAACATCCGATCAGCATGCTCTATTTTCATCCTCGAAGAGAAAGTGCGGGCACTGGTTGCATGTATGGGTATATTTTCAACAGAAAGACCTAAAAACTATGATATTGTATTAATGTGATAGACATACTATTATTTAAGATAAGGAAAAAAATCCTTTGAAAATTGTATCGATAATTAAACTGAAACTTTCACACATGTACAAGAAGAAAAATTGAGAATATCTTAGAAATAGAATATCTATTAAACATTGCACGTATAATTATAGAAAACAAAACAATGCTATGCCTATTCTACAATGTTATGACATAATAATCATGTTTTGTATATTATTTCGGCAATGAATTTACAATTTAGAGATTTCGATTTTTTTTTCAAAAAGGTACATCCTCTTTGGGTATGCAAAGGTATTGCCAAAAGACAACTTAGTGGATGGATGAAGATAGAAGAGGAGGGAAAAGCGAAACGGAAACTCAGTGTTACAACACTAGGACGAGATATGCCATCTTACAATCCTTATTACATATTTACTAAACCAGAGGAATTTGTTTACCGAAACTTTCCTGATGAAGAACGTTGGCAGTTATTACAGAATCCATTAACTCTAGATAAATTCTTAGAACAAGCATACATACGTCCTATATTTTTCATGAACAACTTTAAACTAAAAAGCGAAGATAAATGTACGATTGCATCTGAAAACGGAGAGCCTTGTGAGATAAAAATAGATTTTCCAAAGCAAAAATCTTCAGATGCAGTTTTTGGATATGATCTGAGCAAGAAAATTGATAATAAAACAAATGAAAGAAACAGTATAAACGAAGATAAGGATAATAGTAAAGAAACTGACCAGAAAACTGATAAGGATATCAGTGAAGAAAATGACCAGAAAACTGATAAGGATATCAGTGAAGAAAATGACCAGAAAACTGATAAGGATATCAGTGAAGAAAATGACCAGAAAACTGATAAGGATATCAGTGAAGAAAATGACCAGAAAACTGATAAGGATATCAGTGAAGAAAATGACCAGAAAACTAGTGAGGAACAAACAGATGCCAAACGTTATGTTATGGTTAGGAAGTCGGAAGGTTCTGTAACATTTGAAGTCCGATTTTTCAGTGCTGGTACCTACAAACTGCGTTTATATGGTGGATATTTTAAGGAATTTGGGAACAAACCACCGTGGATTGTAGATGTTCTTTTTACATGTAATAATGTAAAGCCCGAACTGCATCCGCTTCCTTTTGATCCAGGTCCAGTTGGTTGGGGCCCAGGACCGACTACAGAAAGTTTTGGTTTGTATGTTCCATCTCATGTTGAAAGTGACATACTCGTTACCGAAGAGGAAGACACTATTGTATATTTTATATTACATCATAAAGTTAAAGCGAAAGCATCACTACATCACTGTAAAATTGACTCTGACCAACTACAAAAGTTTATTGAAATAGATACGGTTCCAGTTGGAGATATTATAACGCTACAAATACGACTCATGCATCCCGGTGAAGGTGAATATGGGCTACAAATACACGTTAGAAGTCACAGGATGGATGTCAATATATGCAATTACATTGTACAAACAACGTCAAAGCGACCATTTGAGGTACCTTCATATTTTATTTTGCTTATTCATTAGCTTTAACTACAAGTGTTCCACACCTGAATTTACTTTAAATCAAAAGTATATTGACAGCCACTTCAAATATATCATCTCGTTTTGCCTTCATAATATCAAATAGTTGTTAACATAATTGTAATGGATTTACTTTCCACTGAATTTACAAATCAAACCTATTGTCTTTTTTGTTGCAACACGAGAACAATTACCCTTTCATAGTAATACAATAATTCTATTATTCTTTGTTGTGTTTTTTTCCACAGACATTTTACCCTCGAAGAGCAAGACGTATGATACTCGATGCCATGGAAACTTGCGATATTGACTTCTTCAAAGCTGCTCTTGATGAGTGTCAACGTACTGGCATACCAGACACGGACCCAGACGTTAAGGGTGCAAGAAACAGATTTGAGTTTCTTAGTTGTAAAACAGGTTTTTTACTTTTAGTTTTTATAATTTGCTACTTTGTTCTGTTTCTCATAAAAGCTATTTCAAGGCACTTCATTCCTCAGAAAAGAAGAAACGTCAAACATGAGTTTTTTAGTATTATAATGTATGTAATATTTTTCTTGTTTTTTGTTTTGTGTTTTAATAATTGTTTTGAAAGATGTTAGATTCTAATCACTCGTAGAAAATAGGACTGAATATGAACAAAAATGTCATATAGGTAGCAAAATGTAAGGAAAGTAGTATTTTGACTTCCATACAAAACACTTAATCAATATATCTGTACATATTGCAAAAATGCAAAAGGAGCAAAATAAGATTCACGTTATTTCCAATAAGTAACGTTATGTAAATTTTAACTAGACAACAACAATAGAGCTTTAGGGAAATAAAAGTATCAGCACTTCATGGACACTATTTGCTTTTAGTAAGACACTTTTCAATTGAGATTGTGATCATATTAGTCATCTCATCAAAGGTAATATGTCATGCTGTTTAAAAGTTTATACAATCATTGTAATTCTTGTAACTGTAGCAATTTGGAAACACAACTAAGTAAAACCAGTATATTAGTTCAATCAAAATAAAGTGTGTTTTTATAATTTTATGTTTAGAATTGTACGTTGCTCTCCTTGTGAACAGAATTGATGTATCTGAGCATGCTTTGTACCGCACTAGGAAGGCTAACTTAGATATACTGTTGGGTAAGATGTTAACTTATTTTAACTTACTTAAACATTGTTTGGCCTATCTTACATCATTAATGTTTCAATGCCTAAATAATGCAGAACTAATACTGTACAGATTAAGTTATCATTTATTTGTAAACATATTGTATAAAAATCGGTAACTTGTATTTTCTATACAATTATAAACATTCTAGTAGCTTTACACATGAAGTAGTTCAGAAATACATGTGCAAGGCATTGATATCAATTTATGTTCATTATAACATCGTCATGATACTCTGCCAACAATGATTTGCAGATATGCACAATTTTTTCTTCATTCTATCACCACATGGTAGTTTTAAAGCAGGATATCCAACTAAAATTGTGCAGCAAGTTTCATAATCATATTTGTATTCAGCTAAAGAAATTATGAAAGCTGAGGAGCACTTACAAAAGCTGCTTAAGCTGGATGAAGGTGGGTGGACCTGTGACATCCCCGAAATAGATCGACAATCACTTGTAGAGCTAAGTGAACTGCGAAAACCAAAGCTTGAAGTTCGACTCGTTATTACAGCAATGTACATGCTGCTAGGCATCGAAGAGGAAAACCTCAAAGTAATCAATTTGCCTGTCAAAACTTTTTTTAAATTTTATACTTTAACGAACATTTCTTCATATCAAAAAACTATATATGGTGTGATATATGCAGACTCCATAATATTTGCTTCATCATTTATTTATTATTTAGTTTAAACATATTGAATTTAAGCTTGAATGCGAAAAAAGGTTTCATTTTCGAGTCCACTTACTGGAGCCAGCCAGTACTGGTCTCATATGAGGAAACATGGTCGTAGCCCGATTAAGTCGCGATCCCATGATCCCTGGATTGAGGGCCAGACACCTTATCCACTAGGTCACCGCTCCTCTATTTCCCTATAGAACATGTAATAATACATTTCTGAATGGCTTTATGACCTGACAATATATGTAATTCATACAATCAAAAAGAGCACCAGTTATGGAATTATTTTCTCTGCATTCGTTATTATCTTTGACTCAATTGAAATAAAATGAGTTGTATATTTGTCACTTTCGAAACTGTAAAATAAATATTTTTTTTATTAGGATTGGAGAAAAGTTAAAAAGTTTCTTAGAAATCAACAGAGCACTCTCGTCGAGATTGCGCGACTGGAGAAGTATCTGATGCTGAACACAACAAGTGACGTCACTGTGTCTGGAAATGTAATTGATCGTGTGCTTGAAATACTGGCCAACTACACAGTGGATAACATACGGCGTGTAGATAACACTGCTGCTGCGTATTTTCAATGGGTCAGAGCTTATCTTTATTTTTAAATACTTTTAATATAATTCTATAAATATTTTACTTTAATTATAGACCTGTACCTCAAATAATTTATGGTAATGTATGACAAACCTGACGTATAATAAAAGAATTATCAATATATTAAGTTATAAAAAAGCTCTTACTATGATATCTTTATTTCTTGTTTTTATTCTATTCTATTTGATTAATTAATTAATTAATTAATTGATTAATTAATTAATTAACTCATTTATTTATTACAGGTAACTTCTGTTACTGAAAAACTAAAAGATAACCAGTCAAAACAGAAGAAACTAGAAACGGTAAAAAATAGTGCTGTAAAATCAGCTGTAAAGAGTCAAAAGGGCTCAAATGTGGTTAGCACCAAGGAGAGTGTGATTCCAAAAATGACGGACAAATCATCTGTAAAATCGAGCACAGTAGGAAAAACTAACGCGACAGTTATGTCTAATAAGCAAAGCGCAATTACGCGAACATCAGAAAATGCTACCAGATTATCTCATCGTAAAGACGATAGCTCATCAGAACACAAATTGTCTTCCAACAAAAGCATCATATCTGATACCAAATTAGAAAATACAGTAAAGAATAAGAGTTATGTTTCTGTAAAGTCAAAACAGGGAAGTACTGAAAATCATGACAATATCTCTCAAACGTTAACAGGAGATGCTGGTATCTTAAAAGTGCGCAGTTTAACAAAAGAATTGAAGTCAAACAATGCAAAATCTATAGAATCTCCCATGTCAGGAGATGAATTAAAACGTGACAGTGAAATCTCATCAAAAGCCAGTCTTGGTAAAAAGTCACAGGCGTCAAATCGTCCAGAACTGTTGTCCAAAAGGTCAGGAACATTTGTTCAGGAATCAGTAAAGAGTGCAGATCGCAAGACAATATCTAGGAAAGAGAGCAATGTCACAACAAAGTCGGTTATGAGCAATACTGCAACAATTAATGGTAAAGGTAAAAGTGTGATAAACGGTTCATTAAAGGATGACATATCGGGCAAAACGTTCTTCTCTGATGGTAAAGGATCAAAGCGGAATTTATCGACTGGTCATTTGTCAAGGCCAGGCTCGAAACGACAAAATTAAGCTTATATTATCGCAAACAATCATTTGGAGTTGAAAATACAAAATAAATCAAGTACATACACACATGAATATATACATTAATTTTCCTTGTGCAGTATATTAGTAACAAAAATAAGCATTTGTTAACATGGCTTTATTTATTGTCGCAAAAAGTTATAAAGTTCATTATATATCATATCCAGTATATTGATATAGCTGAAGATTATTGCTTTTTGTTCTTAAATCTCAGTTTCCATTTTCTGTGAAAATAAATGAAAACTTTTGACGAGACCATTTTTATATATGTATATGTTCCTTGCATATGTTCACTTAACTATTTGAAATGTCTTAATTTATAAGGAAAGAGACACCATATGATTTTATTCGTTACGGTTGTGAAAATTATGCGACTATAAACATTATTTTCCTGCTGTATATTCATAGATTTTGATGTTAATTTACAAACTTGAACTTTAATCGGTTGAAAAAAAAATCATAGAAAGTGTTTGTTTTACACAAGGGGTCAAAAATGACATAATTTGCGCAGTTTGTACATATTGCATTTTAACTTATTTATTTGAACGCATTTAATTTAATAAAACTTATTTTTGTATCATTGTGTTTTGTTACTAAAATTTATATTTAAAATAATCCATTTACCGTTCTAATAAGGGGTTTGTATTCGAAAAAAACCTATATCCCACTACTCAGATGTTCACTGAATTCTATATTTCTAGGTTACCTTTCGGCAGATTGTTACCTGAAAAGCAGCATGCCTCCAGATTAATACATATTTCATGAAATTTTTGAAAATGTATTTAAAAGTAAAATATTTAACAAATAAAGTACCTTACACATTGCAAACAGCACTTACAATCCACGTAAATTACCAACAATCCACGTAAATTACCAAAGACAATGCTAAAATATGCAAAAATAGTACTTACTGGGTTAGTCACGCAGGAAAAATACGGCGATGAATACTGCAAAATCAGTCAATAATCGCAAATAACATGTACGAAATCATTTCTTTAATTTTAATTTTTTAAATGTTTTTTTTTTAAATCTTAGCAAAATTTTTGCAAGTTTGATTTTATTCGTAATGATTAATTTTTATTGAAACAATTGAAATGACTGCTTTAGCACTGGGAAAGATCGTTAATGTGTAGATGTTCGCCGGTCTTCTAATGAGACACCGGGCATTAGAGTGGTAATGTTTGCAACGGCTACGACTAAAGATGGTACTTTACACCAGGAATGGGATTATCTGTTTTCAGGTCTTTATTAAAAAATTAAAATCTTAGGAGTTAGTTTTAAAAACAGATATCTATCAAGTAAATTTGGCCGTGTTTTCCTTACATTGCTAGTCATCGCTCCCATTAACTTCTTATGTAGAAATTCACTTCGTGGTTGTATTTGGGAAAAGACATCGCCAATCCGAAAATATATCTCAGTATCTCTATAAGTTGTACTACATGTACTTGGTAGGACTTCGAATAATGCTATGCGTGAATGTTAGTCGGCTTTTTCACGCATAATCTTTGGCTCAATGTATATGATTTAATGTAGACGCTGAAGCATAATATCTTTATTTATCAGCATAGATGAATGAATGAATGAATGAATGGTAGGATGAATGAATGAATGATTGAATGAATCAATGAATGAATGAATTAATGTATGAATTAATCAATGAATAAATGAATAAATGAATCATGAATTGAATTGAATTGAATTGAATGAATCAATTATTTAATGATGAGTTATTTTTATGAATAAATGAATGGATGGATAGATAGATGGATGAATGAATTTTATAAATAAATGAATGAATAAATAAATAAATAAATTGTATTGAATTGAATTGAATTAAATTGCATTGCATTGCATCGACGAGAATTGAATGAATGAATGAATGAATGCATGAATGAGTGCAAACCTACAAAAAAAGAAAGAAAGTTCAGTCTGATTTATCTTATTTCTCCAATCACCTTATGATAAATGAATTCATAAATTAAAGTGTAAGGCGAGGATTTCATAATGGTTGAGATTATAAGGTTTATACATTGGAAACATTGTAAACTATACATCTAACAAATTTTAAAAGTATTCGTATATCTCGCATATTAAATAAACAACAAAGGGCCGTTAGCCATTTTTCATCCCCTTTTTCCAAAACCTATCCAAAAACTCCGACAGTAAACGTCCGGGTATTTGTTGACAATAGATCTGTTGAAAATGAATTAAAATCATTTATGAAATAAAGATAGATTTTCTCAGATAGCAAATTACTTAAATTGATTAAATCTCATTCTCTGGATAATAAGCGCCTTCGAACATGATTGCAATACTGTAAACAAGAACTGTCAATCGGACAATCAAGAGCCTGGATACTGCAAGAATGAGACGTAACTATACAGGGTTTCCTTTTTTAACGTAGCGATTGTTTTGTCCCTTCACTTACTTTGAACTTAACCAAATACGAGTACTTATTTGACTAACTCAATGATAGTCTTTTTGTCTGTATAAATAAGATAAACAAAGCAAATCATTACTCTATGAAATACTAGCTCGATTTGAACAACAAAAATACCAACATTGTAGATTGAAAAGAATAACGTAATGGCAATTTTATTGTTTAAGAGTATGATTTTCAGAAATGTTCATTAATAGCTTGCCTCGCATAAATAGGTCAGCATAACTATAGAAAAGGCAACAATTTGTATTGTAACACAAACTGACCTACTTATAAAACAACACTCATTTTTTGAAATTATAGCTTTTAAGCAATAAAAGACATCGTAAATATGATCTGTGATTTTATTTGGTTATGTCATTTGTTCCCATATCTTATATCCGACATAGGAACGCCAATAAATCAGTAGTAAGGCTATAAAATATTTGTTCCTAAAAGTTATGATAGCTTCAGAAAATCAATATAACAAAACGTTACTGAGAAAGCTTTCCTTCATATTGAAGGAGTACTAGTATTGTCAAAAGAAGCGGCAACGTTATACAATCGGTTATCTACATACGAACATGGAACACAAGTTTGAAAATAATCATATCTGACCTTAATGAAAATATATTCAATTTAATAAGACAAGATCAATTAAGTGATCTTATAATTATTTGAATAATTAACATAACTTTTAAATTATTTACATATTATGAATGTCATTGATCCAATGTAACTGGTTTTTTTCTCAAATCATACAAACCACAGAAAACCCCACACAAATCGAAATTTAATACAGCATTTATATTTTCAGTGCTTACTCTGTTAATATATAAATATAATTCGGGAATCATCTGACAATATTCGGTGCAAGTACCCTCCTAACATAACAAAGCTGAAATAACTTTATTATATGATACTTCGACCTACTCCTAAACTTAGAAAATGTTAATATATGTTAATAGTCAATATATTTTGACAGGTATTATATTGTGAATTAAAACATTTTTGTCCTTTCAATGTTTTTTTATCAATAAAAATGTTCTGGATAACACCGAACATTAAACAATGACAAAAACGTTAAGGTCAATCTTTCCAAAATATCATTTTAATCTCCTGGACAAGAAGATAATTTAGAATGGGACCAAATCGGTTTACGACATTTTGCATATTTATTTATATGTTTAAAGTGAATTTGAAGCTCTTGCGGAATAAAAAGGTACAGACGAGTTATTTTGTTTCAGTTTATACATTTGCTAACCAGCATGTATCAAATACTGCAAGTTTCAAGAGAACCCCTTGGATAGTTTTAGAGTTATACACCAAAATTGCAAAAAAGGACGTAATATAAGGATAGGATACTATTTTAAGTTTTATGATTGTTCTCTGTCTTTCCTTTTGTCACGTGTATCTATAGTGTATCACACACCGTCTCATCATGCTCAACATTTGTGCTAAATTGTTTCAAAATCTCTTGAAACATGACCGAGTAATATGCCGAAAAATATATTAATTGCTGGCATTATACCATTGAGAGTGGCCTTGGAGCAACCAGCCTAGGTCTTGCGCATGACATGCCGTCTTACCATGTTTTTCTAACTTCTAATTTGTGACCTCAATTTGTCACATTAAACCTCAAGCTAACGGTATTCTCGTCTTGTGTATGACATACCGTCTTATTATGTTATATATTTTTGCTATGCTACCTAAAAATCCCTTGATGCATGCCAGAGTATGGGCCGGACCAGAAATTCCAAGTGCTGATATTCGACCTCAAAGTGCGACCTTGACCATGAACGTAAGGTATATGTCTTTTAAATGACATATCGACATGGAAATGTTTCAAAATACCTCGTTGCATGACAGAGTTATGAGCAATACAAGGTTTTCAAGCACACGAACGGACAGACGGACTGAGGTACCCCTTGCAATTATCTAGGGACGTTGTGTATTTATTTTTTCCTTTGTTTTTTTTAGAAATACTGGAGAGTCGCCGTGTGTATATTTGTCTGTATGTGCCGGTAAGGGACGTAACATAATAAAATAAAAAACTATCGAATATAAATGAAAGCAACACTCGTCTGGTCTTACAATGCAATTCTATATTATGCCTTCATGAACTATTTGGTGCTTGCTGTTTATTCCATTCGACAACATGCAATCTTTTGAAATATAAAATAAAAGAAGAATCTCATTCAGGTTTGATTTTTATATATTTTAATATTCTCCGATAAACGTTATGAACCGCGCTGTCATAGTACCCCTTCTAAACATTCTCGAATAAGCGGTGCGTTTTTAAACGTTTGATTCCAACATGTATTTACATGGTTGACAGAAAACAAAAGGCAAAACTTAATTCAAAGAGTATTAACATTTCATAAAATAAAACATGTTATAATTTCGGATCGGTAAATGCAATAATCATTATGGCTGATTAATGACATTAATATTCTACCAGCCAGCGTCTATGTTTTTAATTATGTTGTTTTCTACTCAAATGATCAATTGTGAATGACGAAACTATTTTTGGCGTTGAAGTGCATGAACTTGTTACAGTTCAAATAAAACAAATAAAAACAAGAAAATGTCTACTCAGGATATTTATGGCCAGAGAATCGAAGTCAAAACAAAAGTATACTCTAATTCTGTATTCGTCCTAGACATAAAAACACCGCGATGTTCTGTTTGAAATTATTGAAATTATTTGTCACGAAAGCAGAAAAATATGAACAAAGTGGTATTTTAACTTCCATACATGTACCAGAAACAAAATCACTGTACACATTGCTAAAAAGAAATGAGTAACATTTTGGAAATTTAAAACGAAACTTAAAGGCATTTGAGAAATAAAAAATACAGCAGATCTGTGTATAATTAAAGTGATACTATTAGAATATGGAGGCGATATGTATACAGTTCATTTCAACAGCATGTGCTTTTAAAACTTTACTTTACTAAAAGAAGAGAAAAAAACGAAACACTAATGACAACATTCAAAGCTGATTTATGTTTACGCTTTCTCCATATACTGTAACTATATACAACGATATTTATTTGTATTTGATGCATGTCATTTATTAGAAATACCTATCTGTCTGTGGTAAAGTAGACTTGATACTATGCTATATTTGTTTCAATAGTAC